ACAGATATCGAGAAGTTAATGGGAGAAAGAATGTTCACTATTTTTGTCTCTGAAGGTTAGTTAGGTATCTCTGTGTAAACAGCGTAATTCTTGAAATAGTTGCATTTTTTTATGTTGGTTTTTAAAGATTGTTCACATGGCTTGTATGTCAGGCCAAGCCTCCTTTTTTTCTTGCTGGATAGGCAGGAGTAAAAGGTTCCACACATGTTAACTTTAGGGTTGGACCTACAGGCAGAAGTCAAAAGCAGCAGCCAAAGAATTTGCCTTTGAACCAGCGAGGCTCTTTCTCTCTGTGCTATGGGAAAGCTGTGGTCTCAACACTGGACTTTTTTTGGGGGGGTGTGCACTAAAGGTGTCCAGGCTGAGCAAAGAAGGCACAACAGGGAGTAGGAAGAAAAAATGTGTAGAATCCCCCCACACCTCCTTTTGCAAGTATCACTGAGCCACTCTTAGTGCTGGTTCCCTGTGCCAGTCTGGCTGTAGCCACACCCTCTGACCTCCGCAAGGGCGGGGTGGACACAAAGGGAGTCCCGTGTCTTGACCGATTTCTAAATCACAATATTTTCCTTTATACCATGATTTTTCCACTGGTGGTAGTGGGAAACTGATGCCCTGACCCTTATATTAGATCCAGAGTTCTGGTACTGTCCATGAGAGCAGCATCTCTGAGTTTTCAGCCCCTCCCCCATGGAGCCTGTTCTGCCTGACTCTGGTCTGCTGCTGACAAACCAGAAGTCAAAATTCATAATTTTGAAGTAATCAAGTTATCTGTTGGTGGATCTTTGGATTGCTCCTAATTTTGAACTATTATGAATAAAGATACTATAAAATTTTTAAATATTCTTTGAACTACTGTTGATAATATGTTTTGTTTTTGTTTCACTTGGACAAATAACTAGGAATGTAAGTGCTGAGTCACAAGGTAATGAACTGACAAGATTTTTTCCCAAATCAAATGTCCCATTTTATAGTTTTTTTGCATTTTCTGATGAATAATGATGTTGAACACTTTTCTTGTGTTTTTTGGCCAAGTATATATTTTCTCCATGATATTTTCAATCACTTCATCTGCATGCAAAAGCTAATACCTAAGGAAGACCAAAGAAGAATGAATGCATTTGTATTGTTGTGTTGTTGAAGAATATTTAATATATCATGAACAGTCCAAAGAATGAACACATCTGTCTTGTACAGTCAGAATGCTATTCTGATGCAAAGATGGTGACACTTCATCATATGTACCTTAGACATGTTATCAGGAGGAATGAGTCCCTAAAGAAGGATATGATGCTTGGTAAAGTAGACAGTTGGTAAAAGAGGGGAAGATCCTGAATGAGATGGATTGACACAGTGACTGCAACAGTGGGCTCAAACATAGGAAGGACTGTGAGAATGGCACAGAACCAGGCTATGTTTCATTCCGTGTGCATAGACTTGCTTGTTGAGTCTGAACTGATTAGACCATACATCACAAGAACAACAGAGATAACATATTTTCTTCTATATTGTGTTTGTTCAGATAATTTTTTTTTTCTTTTTTGCTATTAGGGATCATTTGTTTTATTTTGATATAGAAAAGTTTGTTACAGTTTGAGGAAAGCAGCCTTTTGTCAAATATCAACTTGAAGAAAACAGCAAATATTTACAAATATAGACAAATATATTTTTCCAAATAATAAGGGAGACCATAGAAGAATTGATGCTTTTGAGTTATGGTGTTAGGTGGAGAATATTGAAAGTGCCATGGACTACCAAAAGAACCAACAGATCCATGTTGGAAGAAGTGCAGCCAGAGTGCTCCTTGGAGGCCAAGATGGCCAAACTTCATCTCCCTTCATGTCAGGAGGGACCAGTTGCTGAAGAAGGATATCATGGTGGAGGGTCAGAGAAAAAGAGGAAGACCCCCACCAAGATGGATTGGCCAAGCGGCAGCATCAGTGGACTCAAGCGTGGCACCAGTAGTGAGGTTGGCCCAGATTCAGGCAATCTCTTTCTGATGTGTATAGGGTTGCTATGACTTGGTGCCTATTCGATGGCACCTAACAACAACAACAACAACATTGAGGGACAGAATTTTTTACATTGGACAAATTCATATTTACCTTTCTTTGTTTTCTTTTATATGCAGTGTATACCTCAAGATTGTGAAGAGTTTCTTTTACAAGTCTAGTGTTGATGTACCTTCTATCTATTGCTAGTAGCTATCTACTGCTTGGCTGAAAACTGAGTCACGAAACTGAATCTGATTCCACACCTGGAAGGTAACAAAGAGCCATAGTCTCAGGTTCCTCCAGTATCTTCCTGACCAGTAAACCTGGTCTTTTTTATGATTTTGAATTTTCTTCCATATTTTCTCCCACTCTACTTAGGACCTTCCAATGGGATTTTTTTTTTCTTTCCAGAGCAGTTGGTAGTGGTATATTTAGTATTCTTCACCAACATCATAATTCAAAGGTGTTAATTCTTCTTCAGTCTTCCTTAGTCATTGTCCAGGCTTTATATTCATATAAGGTAACTGAAAACACCATGGCGTGAGTATGATTTAGCGTAGTCCTCAAAGTAAAAATTTTGATTTTTAACACCTTCAGGGGATGTTTTAAAGAAGATTTTCCAAGTGCAATACATCATTTGATTTCTTGACTGTCATTCTAGTGGGCACTGATTGCAAATCCAAGTCAAATGAAATCCTTGACAAATTCAGAGTTTTCTCCATTTATCACAGTGTTGTTTATTGAGCCAATTGTGAGAATTTTGTTTTATTTGTTAACATAACCTGTACTGAAGGCTGCATTCTTTTACTATCATCAGCAAGTGTTTCAGATTCTCTTCACTTTCAGCAGGCAAGGTTGTGTCATCTATAAATTGAAGGCTGTTAATGAATCTTCCTCCATTACTGATGCAACATTCTTCTTCATATCATCCATCTTCTCAAACTATTTGCTCAACATACAGATTGAATAAATATGGTTAAAGGATACAATCCTGACACACACCTTTCCTGATTTAAAACTATGTAGAATCCCCTTGTTCTGGTCAAACAACTGCCTCTTGACCTATGTACTGATTCCATATGAGCACAATGAAGAGATCTAGAATTCCCATTATTTGCAATGCTATCCATAATTTCTTATAATCCATACAGTTTAATGCCTTTGTATTGCCAGTAAAAAAGAAATATTGGTATTCATCCTGGTATTCTCTGATTCCAGCCAAAATTCATCTGACATCAGCAATGATATTCACCATTCCATGTCCTCTTCTGAATCCACTGAATTTCTGGCAATTCCTTATTATGTCTCCTACCACCATTTTAAAAATTATTTTCAGAAAAATTTTACTTTCATGTGATATTAATATTGTTTGATAATTTCCACATTCAATTGGATTATCTTTTCTTTCTTTTCTTTTTTGAATGCACACAAATATGGATCTCTTCCATGGGCTAACCAAATAGCTATCTTCTAATATGACATTTTAGGCATAGATGTGTGAACATGTCCAGCATTCCATCTGTTTGTTGAAGCATCTCAACTGGAATTCAGTAAATTTCTTGAGTCATCTTTTTTGGAAGATACTCTTAGTCCCAAAGTGTGATGGGGAATAGAGTCAATCCCAGATCCTGGCCCATATGAAGTATTTACAACCTTTTATTGAAGCTGGTTTGGGACTGAAATGGATGTACTGGACATGGAGCATAAACAGAGAGTGAAAATGGATCAGAGGAATTCACAAGGGGAGAACACACAGGGCAGTCCTCCTGACTGGACCTGTTTACTCCTGCCAGGTGATTAGTTGCATGAGACCCAGTTCAGGAACTGCATCCTTGGCTGACCTGAGTGATAATCATATCATGTTCTAGGTTGTTTGATGGTGGGGCATAGCATAAG